CACCATCTATAATTTGGTAAAGGATTGCCTTGACCCCAGACCTGAGGTTGAGTGCACTCTGTCTGCACCGGCTTGATAGGACACCTCTGATTCTCTCCCTAAAGATTCTCTGTCTCCAGAGGAATTGCAAGAGCTTGAGAAAGACGCTGCTTTATATCATGAGGAGGAAGAACAGCCTCCTGGGGACGAAAATTATAGTGATGATTTTGAAGGAGTGCCTACCAAGGACTTGATTAAAGTTTTCGCAGCCTTATAAGCTGCCTTTAAGAAAAAGGAGTGGGATCGCTCCATGTTCCCTCACTAAAAAGAAGTGGGATCGCTCCATGTTCCCTTGCTCTACAGCTCCTGTTCCATCTGCTCCCTTGGCTCCTGCAACACCTTTTTTTGCTCCCTCTGTTCCAGCTCCTTCCCCTCAAGCAACTTCCCCCTTCCCGGTCTGGTTGCAATAAGCTTTGCGTTTAGCCCACAAAGTGGGGGAGGATATGTCTGGCTTTCATGCTTTTCCTATTCGTGTGGATCCAGCTTCTAGTCAGCAATACCATGAACCCATTCCTTTTAAAATTTTGAAGGATATAAAGGCAGCGGTATCTCAATATGGAGCTACTGCTCCTTTCATTGTGGTTATGATAGATTCTTTAGGGGATGATGCTTTGACACCTAATGATTGGAAAAGTATTGCTAAAGCATGCCTTTCGGGAGGGGATTATCTCTTGTGGCAGGCAGAATATAGAGAGAAAGCTTATGAAATGGCTTAGCACAACCGCCAAGCTAACAATGGAATTTCCTATGACATGCTTACAGGAATGGGAAATTATTCTGATACTGCAACTCAAGTCAATTGGCCTTGATTTGCATACCATCAGGTTGCCACTATGGTACTAGCAGTCTGGATGTGGCTCACAGCTGGGAACAGAGGAGCTGAGTAAAATTCGCCAGGGCCCTGATGAAAATTATCAAGATTTTGTTGTCCTGCTGTTGCAAGCTGTGAAGCGTGTTATTGCTAACTCAGAGGCTGGGACTCTGATTGTTCCCCAATTAGCCTTTGAGAATGTTAATTCTGCCTTTCAAACTGTGATACAAAAAACAAGGTTCCTTGGAAGATTATATTTGCCTCTGTGCAGAGGTCAGATCTTCTTACACTAAGGTGACCAGATTTTAACATTGGTAAAGCAGGACACCATTGATGGGGGTGGGGG